GGTGCTCAGGGCGTCTCCAAAGGCTCGTAATTCCGTGTGATTCCTGAGCGGCTCTAAGTTGTGCTGCATATTGATCTGATCCAAGTATACCAGGTATGCGGTGGCGGCGCCCAGAAATGCGCCCACCGTTTGGGCCAATATATAGGGACCCACTTTAGTCCACGGGAAACGTCTCAACGTTGCGAATGCTATGGATACGGCCGGGTTTATGTGACCTCCTGTTCCCCGAGTAATCATAGTGTTGTTTATTATAACAGTTATAATGTTTTAGTTATGATATTCAGTACAGACCCGATATGGCCATTGAGGCACATATACCCACAAAGGCTCCAAACCCCCAGCAATAGTTAACACCGGCGTAGTCCACGGGTTTGTTAGGTATGCCCTTAATGTTCAATACGTAGGCAGCCGTCCCTGAGCACCCAATTAGCTGTGATTATGTGATAAAAGTGTTTCATTTATATTGCGTTTATGATTTTATTTACATATGGTTTTCAAACATTGTAAATTATAATATAAAATTATAATTATTTTAGTTTAGACAATAAAATTATGTAAATTAAAGTCATTGACATTTTAATAGTTGGCAAGTTAATGCAATATTTCTATTTTTAGTCAAATATTTCTAATTTTACATTTAAGACTTAACTAATTTTTAATTTTAAGTGATCTTACTAAACATTTAATACTTAATAATTTTAATACAGTAGTACAAAATATGTGTATAGTATAATACTGTAGTTTAATAGTTTCATTTTTGGACAGACAAAATAACTTTTGATTAGTTAAGCAGCGATCAGAGATTAACTTCACAAAGGTTATCAAATTTATAAAGATATGTATTGGTCCAGGTATGTTTGTACTGTATAAATGATGGCATAAATATAAACATAATGATACAATTTAAATAATTTTATTATTCTTCAGAATTCATTTGAACAAATATTCAACAATTTTCCTTTTTAAAAATTATTTATGACATAATTAATCAAAATAATTTTTGTAATCTATACTGTAGGGTATTATATACTAAATAAATAAATAAATAACTCTTTGTTTGACTTTTGTTGTCTGAATTTTTTATAATAAATTACATATTTATAAATACAGTATTACATAAATAACTTTTATGTGTGATAAATTATTCAACAATAAAAATTTATATACTTCTTGAAAAGTGCTAAAACTTTGTTTAACTTCAAACTTATATTATAATATAATACTGCATTTGACTGTACAGTAGTGTTTAGAATTGATTATAAACAATTATGCATAATTAGTCAATTATGTGGTGAATGGAAATTTCTAACATAATTTAAAACAAAATGTGTATTTTTGATCCTATTGACAGTGAAAATGTTAGGGTATGGTAAAGTTTGCATGTTTACTTGTGATTTTCATATAGAATAATAGAAATCGTAAAAATAACAGAATTTGAAACTTTATGTACGTGTAAAACCGGTAACTTATAGTGTACTGTAAAGTATATGAATTGATTTAAGTTACATGGAATTAAACTATTTATCATCAAATCATATATTAATTATTCAAAATTAAAGTTTAATAATTTTTAATTATATCCAAATTATGAAAACATATTAAATTAAATATTTACAAATTAAAGTAATTATTTTCACTATAAAAGTCCTGACAAGTTGATTCATTGAAATCTCAAATGAAATGTAATTAAATATTCAGTAAACTAATATTGAGGGCGAAAAATAATATTCAAAATAAAATACTATTACTAAAAACAAAGGTTTTTCAAATTCCACAATTTAACACTAAAAATGATTTTAATTAAATAATAAGATAAATATAAACTTTAAAAATTAGCTCAAAATTATACATACCAGCAGCATATAGGTGCCCAAAAATTCTGCCATCAATTCCTTAATCAATTGTCTTATATTGGATGTGAGGGCTGAGTCCTCATCCCGTCTCACGTTATTATTATTACTCATCTTTATTTGCTCTGCAAATGTATTATAAGATGTTAACATTATTTTGTTTCGTATTTTATATTTATTAGTATTCATATTGTATTCAAATAATTCAATGAAAATATTTAGTTATTTTGTGCTAACATACAATCATTTACAAAAACACGTTTATAACATATAATAGACATTTAAATAAATATTATATTTAACATTCTGTGTTTGAACTTTTTTTTTATATTTGACACATTTTATTATGATCTCTCTCTCTCTCTCTCCCCCCCTCTCTCTCTCTCTCTCTCTCTCTCTCTCTAT